AGCCTGTTCTTTGTTCCTAGCTGCTCCCTGGTCAGTGGCCTCCTGCCAGAGGGCTCACCCCCACATAAAGCAGTTATCAAAGGGAGAGGATGGATTGGGGCTCACCAGAGCGGCGGGAGGGCTGCTACCATGCATTACTCTTACTCCTGCTGTGCTGCAGGTTTTCTACACCAGTAGACCAAATTCTGTAGTGTGCATTGCTGTGAATGTAGATCTGCTAAAATCACAGAGTTAGGCCTGTTAAAATGAGAAGAAATTGTCCCACTGATAGGCTTAACTCATAAGAAAACAACTCCAGGCCCCGCTGAAGTGTTAGGAAGTGTTTTGCTATTGACTTTAATAGTCTAGGATTTCCCTGTTACTTCATTTTAACACATTTACCTTTTAACACATTTACCTTTTGGGCATGAGATTCTTAGTGTCAATGGTTCTATCTATGGCCTTCAAGAATCTTCATTAACTTGGACATCTTGGGGATTTTTTGCGTGTTGATTGTGCATGAAGGTAAATAGTTAAACCAAGAATGCTGTCAAGTTAAATCTTGAATTGCATGGGTGACAAAGAAAAAATACTAGCTTAAAAAAGCAGTAGCATTATGAAAACACAGAAGACTAGGTTAGTAAAAGCATAGTGAAAGCTTTTATTTCTCCAGGGGTGATGAGGATTTGGGTAGTGGTTTTCTTTTTTTGGTTTGTTTTGTTTTTAATTGACTGTTGGCAACTGTCTTGTATACAACTCTCCACTTACAATGGAGAAGCGCAGCATTTATTGAAGAGGGAAAGTTAAGGATTATTTGACGTCTGGAATGATATTTTTGACACTTTCTTCTTTCATGTGTGCTTGTTTTCTTGACTCAGCCTTTTAGTATTCTCATCTTGTAGCTTTTCCTCAAAATTGCCGTGGTGAAACATGGGTGCAGTAGCATGTTTATTGATTTGAGTTTTACAATATACTTAACATGGCAGAGCTTGTGTTACATATGACTAAGGTGAAGCAGAGTGTCTTTGTCACCTTTGCTCTAATAGGAATATATACAGTCTTTGCATAACACACATTTTAGACACTAATCCTGAAGGTTGATTAAGAGAAGTCTACAGCTAGAGAGCTGATTTGAGTCGTGACTATAGATAAATGTCTTAAGGGAATCTGGTGTGACTGATGGTCTCTGTCAGTTTGTGAAGCTCTAAAAGTTGTCAGTTAATAATAATAGGACTAATCCATTCACATGAAGGTTTCCTGTTTGTCATCTTCATTATCCATAAAAGCTAAGAAAACAAGACAGACTCTTGAGACTCTGCTCAAGAAATAATCACCTCTTTTTATACTTAACTTTTTATTGATTTTATATTTATTTTTTTACAGAAGTAATTTATCTCTTTTTAATGTTCTAGAATTGAGACTGTCGTTTGTTTAACAAAACTATTTAACTGCAATCTGGTTTCTTGCTTGAAGTATACTTTTGAAAATGGGGAATAATTTTTAACAAAGGACGATTTTATGGGGAGAGCAAAAGATTGCATATAACAAATTACTGTTCTGAGGGCCTGTTGTAACTGAACTGCACTGAACTTTACAGGATAGAAATAAGGGAAAATAAGCTCACCTGATTTCGAATCTGAGAAAGAAAACAGTTATACAAAAATTGCCAATTAAAGTTCTCATACTATAACATGCAGAGAGTATGCTTTTATAGATAACTAAGTCAAAAGTCTTCATGTATTGCTTTTATCTGTGGTTGAATAGTGACAATCCAGTTTTCTTTCAAGATACTTGTTGGGCATTTTGTGTTTGTGGTTTTGGGTCGGGGTATTTTTTTTCCGTTCTATGGCAACTTAATTTCCCAAATCAGAACACTTACTTTTTCACTTTCAGATAACTTCTGCCAGGGATTATAACAATGTTAATATTTTAATTGTTAATATTTGTTCTAGTATTGACTTGCTTCTGTAATTTTTCCTTTCCATTATAATTTTGTTTTTTTTAATTTCAGCTGAGTTTTCAACATAAGATTGGTATCCTTTACTGCAAAGCAGGCCAAAGCACAGAGGAAGAAATGTATAACAATGAGATGGCAGGGCCAGCTTTTGAAGAGTTCCTTGATCTGCTGGGCCAGAGAGTACGGCTAAAAGGATTTAGTAAATACAGGGCTCAGCTAGATAATAAAAGTAAGTTATGTTTCTGACCTATGGTAGAAACTATAATTATCCACTTGATCTTCTGCAAATCCTGTTTTGTCTCTTTATGCTTTTGACTTTGGGTTTTGATTAGTAAGATTATACGGTAAATGATGATGATGAAGCATATGATAAAAGCGTGTATCACACCTTGTCTGAAAGGTTATTTACTTTTTCTGTGGCATTAGTAGAACTGAAAATCAAAGCAACTTATTGCATTTGTTTGCACTTGGTTAAAATCATACCATGTGAGTGATATTTTTAATATATTTCAGAATTTCCCCGTTACGCTTTAACATCTTACCCTTAAAAAGGCAAAATAAATGTATTTAAAAATATGCAGTCATGACAAGGGACCATTTTCCTTATTTCACCTAAACTTTTGTGCTTCTTTTTAATCAACATACATATGTTATTTATATTTGATCAAGTTTTCTCAGTTTTCTAGTTTCTCACACATGCACAGTAAGCATGCTATCATTTGGTAGTTGATAAACATTCATCTACCTAATCACTGTATTATTACTGCCATTGCCTCAGGTCTTTCAGTTTCCCAAAGTGCAATAGTATAATAATTCAATTGTACAAATTTCTTGAGTTTTGTAGCAAAAATAGGAACAGAAGTATTGCTGTTAAAAAAAATCAATGATATGTTAACACACTTCTTTATTAGCATTGCTTTTCACTGCCCTTAAATTTAACTTAACTCATTCTTAGCTTACTGTAGTTTTAATAGGATTTTGATAACTGATCACTATGAGCTGTGAGCTAAGGATATCTAGGTATTCATCTACTTTATTGTAACATACTATTTTTATAGATATAAAGACTAGATATAAGGAAGAAATTTTTTACGATGAGGGTGGTGAAGCACTGGAACAGGTTGCCCAGAGAAGTTGTAGATGCCCCATCCCTGGGAACATTCAAGGTCAGGTTGGATGGGGCTCTGAGCAACCTGGTCTAGTTGAAGATGTCCCTGCTCATTGCAGGTGGGTTGGACTAGATGACTTTTAAAGGTCCCTTCCAACCCAATCCATTCTATGATTTGATTTGTATCCTTATTTTTGCTGTAGCTTGTGTATTACATCCTGAAAATAGAAATTTTTTTTATACACTGTATATAACAGAAAATTAATATATTTGTTAGCAAAGTACATCTTTTTAAACTATTAGATCCTGCTACTCGTGTGGGTATTCTACTTACTTTTCTAATCAAATGGGAAAGTTCCTTGAACTGTTAGATAAGCTTCCAAGAAGGAAGCTGAGAAAGATGTACTTAAAGGAAATTAAGGGAAGACCACCTTTTCTTGCAGGGGATATTTTGCCTTTCAGATAGTCACAGAGATCTAGGAATTGATAAGTCCTCTTATTTGCTTCTCTGTTCCTCCTGCCACTTGCCCACCTGATCTAGCCTGATTCTTAGGAATCTCTTGTGTGTTTTTGCTACTTCAACATCAGTCTTCATTTAACTGTAATACAACTGGATTTTTTTTTTTAAATGGTACATTTGAACACTGATCAGTGTCATAGTCATAAAAGGATTTCTTTGCTGTTATCAAACTGGTAGTGCCCTGATGAACTGTCATCTCCTGTACAGCATTACGAGAGAGGCTTAATGATTCATATCAGAAATTTCTGGAATGTCTAGTGTGTGTACATTGTGGTTGGTACCCAGTGCAGATAAACTGTCCATAGGCCAGTGTCCAGCAGGAAATGAGATATGTGAAGTTGGTGATAAAGCCTCATGCTTTTGCAATGAAGGGAGACCAGCTTTCCAACTCAAGAAATCTTTCACATTCTCCATCTCTAGGAGTGGTGGGAAAATGGTGAAAAAAGTGAGCTGAATCCTATGACAGATTGTAATTTATGACTTAAAAGGTGGGAAAGCTGCAATTCCATAGCCCTGTCAACCTGCATAAGCACCACATTTATTTTTCTTAACATTATTGCCTCTTTGCTTAAATCTATGCTTGTTTCACTTTAGTAATTCAGGCTTGGTAAGAGACTGTTGCATCCTATTTCAGTAGAGAATAACAACTAATTTTTCAAATTAATGTGTAGAAATATTTATTAATACACTGTGGATGTCAGATTTCTGAGATGAATTGATAAATAGGGAAGAAAAAAATCAAAGTAGTAAGGGGGGTTTTGGTTTTGCTTTTTTTTGCCCCCAATCAGAGCCTGACCGGATATCACCTAGTTATTTTTACATATGAAAATATATGCTGGTCATTCAAGCAAATTCAGTTTCTATATTTGCCGTGCTTTGGTATGAATGTACATTGCTGATTGGCATTATGTACGTATCTTTCAGTAACATAATTTTAATGTTTTACTAATGCTGCATGCCATTAACGATATTGGACTGTCATAATATGTTCTCACAGTTTGCAACAAACAGAATGGAATTAACAGAGTTCACAATGATACAGTCTTCAGTGTTGTATTAAATGTAAAATACTGACTTAATTATCATCTTTTTTGTGTTTATATTTGAGTTTTTAATATAATGGCACAACAAGTATTACTGCATGTCATTTTTATAATTGGATAATACATTGATCTGACTGCCTGCAGTCAGAATAGTGTAATAATTTCGTATCTAGTAGCTACGTTTTTGGTAGGCATAATGTTTCAGTAATATTTCTTGCTCAGTCTTTGTAGGGTTCACATTTATTAAGTTTTTCTATTCTCAAATGTTTGACTAGCTGTGGGTTTTTTCTTTAAAAAGTTCTTTTTTTTTTTTAATTTGGCCTGTTTATTTAATATTTTGGTAAGTAATTAATTGGTCCATTTTGTACGGAACATATAATGTAGAATGATGTGGTAGGTTAACCTGTCTGGCGGGTAAGCCCTCACTCTCTTGCTTGCTCACTTACCCTCCAACAGGATAGGGGAGAAAATCAGAAGGGCGAAAGCAAGGAAAACTTGTGAGTTGAGGTTGGGACAGTTCAATAAGTGAAGGAAAGAAAGGAAAAAAACAACCCCACCCCCCCAGAAAAAACCCAACCACCAAAACCAACCCACCACCACAACAATCAACCTACCAATCAACAAAGCAGCCCCACAAGAACAAGTGATGCAAAGTCAATCACTTGCCACCTCCCATCAGCAGACTCATGCCCAGCCAGTCTCTGAGCAACAGCTACTATGGAGAAACTCCCCCTACTCCAGTTGTACTGCAGAGCATGACATTATATGGTATGGAATATGTCTTTGGTCAATTCAAGTCAGCTGTGCTGGCTGTGTCCCCTCCCAAACTCTTGCCCACCCCTACCATACTCCCAGGCGGGGTGAGGGACAGTGTGAGAAACAGAGAAAGCCCTGATCCTGTGCAAGCACTATTCAGCAGTAGCTAAAACATTGGTGTGTTATCAACACTGTTTAGATCACTTATAGAAAACACAGCACTATATAGGCTGCTGTGAAGAAAATTAACTCTATCCAAGCCAGACCCAGTACAAATGTGAAGAACATGTGGAATATATTAACTACAAACTCTTTTCTGCCCTTCTTTAGTGCAATTTAATGGCATGCAATTCTAAATCCCAAGATCAAGAAATAAGAAAATTAGAGAAACTTTACCAGTTCAACACTATATAATTTGTTTAGTGTATGTTTTAAAACATAGTAGTCTACTAGAAATGAGGAATTAAAATATTATTGGAGCATTGATATTCTCTTTTGTAACATTCAGACTTTAATTATAGATTATATTATGGATAAATTGGATTATGTTTGCATTAATTTCCTTATACCTGTGAAGAGAGAACTGAAATGTTGCAATTTTATATCTACAAAGGAATAGTGCTGTTTCACTTTTGTTTGGTAAAAGGTGCTTTTCTGCAAAAAAGCAGAAATGTTTCATAACTGAAAAAGAAGTTTAGCCAATTTTTCTCAAACTTTGTGAAATAAAAGTAATGTTCAGAAAGGAATGAGGCGCAAAAATGTCGGCCTAGATACAATTTTTTTTTCACTAAAATTGTCAGCAGAGTAATGTTTGTAGTAGCAACTGTTATGTAAATTTAATCACAGTGGGCCTTAGTAGGTGTTTAGTACAGCATCTGTTGAGTTAGAAGATTCAGCTTGCGTAGTGTAAGGGACTAAAATTCAGAAGAAAAACTTGCTACCTCATTTCCAAAGTCAAGGTGCTAAATCAGAAGTATTCAGCTATGCAGGATGTTGTGTTAGGAGAGCATTGATTTAAGGGTAAGGAATCTGCCCCTCTATAATAAGTATTTAAAGGGACTGTTTTGTGCAATATCTGTTCAAGATAATTTAACTTTATTTAATATCTAATTGTAAAAAGAATCAGGGAGTGGGGTTGCTGAGATCAGTGTAGTTTAGGCAGATATTTGTATTTCACAATATAATTTATTTCCTCCTTCTGTCTTTCAAAACTCTGTCTTTCTAAAATGCTGTGCAAAGGTTATAATGAAATTATATTTTCAACAAAGATTTTAAAACAGAGGAGTGCAATAATGTTTGCCTTTTTAGCAACATTTAAGTAAAACTTCAGTGGAAATTATGCTCCCTATTTCTTATGTAACTGTAATTTATATTACATCAATTTTAATAAATGAAGCTAATTTTATTATTGTACAAACATAACTGATGAAGCCAGTTGTAATATGAATGTGTTCAAAATTATACACACACATAAATATTTTCAGATTTAGGACTGCAGATACAGTATGGTTACTGTTGAATTTTACACTTAAGTGTATGTTTATATACTTTTAACTGGAGAATTAATATGGCCAATCAGTTTCTTTTTGGAATACAGTTACTATTTAAAACAAAACCCCAAAACAAACAGTGTGTGGAAGAGTGTGCTGGAGAATGTTTATTGGTGTAGATAATATAAAATTGTATTAAAAAATGAGTGAACATGAAAAAAGAGAAGAAAAATTGATAGTTGTCTTGACTCAATAGGGTGTTCCCAACCTCCTGCATTAAAGTTAATTGTACTTACTTAAATAATCCAGACATACTAAAGAAGGTGAATAAAAAGGATTAATTTATGGCTACAGGGTAAAACTCTTCTAATTTGCTGTAAACATTCTGAAATGCTAACTCTATTAATCAACTTCCTAAAGAAAAGAAATAAACATATTATCATATCATATATGAAATGTATTGTAATAATTTTAAAAGATCTGAAAATTCCCAATAAAATTACTTGACATTGTACTACAATGTATTATGTACATATTTTATGTTTTAAAAATGTCTGATCTGCATTATGTGTTTTAATGTCAGATTTGAAGTAGCATTATCAGTTTAATTTTGGTAAAGTAAGGGGTTAATCAGTTGTCCTTATTAATATTTTAAATAATGAAAACATATATCATATAAAGCTATACTCAAGTAGCTAAGTGTTTGTTCTTTTTTCATGAAATGCCACTACATTAAAAATTAGATCATTTAGGCCTCATAGACAGCAAACTCTTTGGGCAATTTCTTTCAGGATCTTTCTGTGTTGTAATGTGAAACTAAAGAGTAGATCTTTAGCTAATGCAAACTGTTTTTGTTCTATTGGAAAAAGTTTTAAATTGCATTAGTAGATTTAAATCATAGCATGCAAAGAGTGGTGTTCTAAAAAGTAGTATGAATGTTGTATTTTACTGACCTTCTTGCGATTAAATTAATTTTCAGCTGATTCAACAGGAACTCATTCCCTCTATACTACCTATAAAGATTATGAGTTAATGTTTCATGTATCAACAATGCTTCCATACATGCCCAGTAACAGGCAACAGGTATGTTTTTTAACTTTTCATTGTAATTTTACACTATAAATGTTTGAGGGGTTTTTTTTAAGTAATAATGATCTAAAACTGAATTGTTTTATATGAAGTATGGCTCAATTGTACTTTTTTTGCTTTAAACATTATAAGGTATTAGAAATCTCACAGGATTTTTATTAGGAACTTATCCTATGTCCCCCATTTAATGATATTATTAAAAGGTAATGTTGTGTGTGGCGAATGAGTTATTTTCAGTTTGGACTGGATTTATATCTTATGTATCTTTTAAAAATTGAAAGGAATGAAGCTTTAAAATAGGCTTATGGTTAAAATATGCATGTAAAAAGATTTTTAAAACAATTCCACTTAATCCTTATATTACAGATCTTAAAATGTTTATTAATGTGTCAGCTTAGTAATAAATGCTTAACTGTATCCTTCAAGGTGCCTGCTTGTGAAGACAGAAAGCTGCAGTGTACTTATTTTATTTCTGGAGAATTCCCTTTGCTTATGTAATAATTCAGAATATCTTTAAAGCATTAAGGATGGCTAAAAAATAGCACAGCATCCAAAGTGTGCAGTGCACCAGTAAGGTGACTCTGTCTTGCCTGTCTCGGATATTTCTTGCAACTGAATTAAAAAGTACAAGCACATTTGGTATAATATATCAACATTAACACTTGAAAAAAAAAAAGTCAGTAGAATTGCTCATAGGTCAGACTGATGATTGTTCATAACTTTCTGCGCTACTACTCTGCATTTTTCTAGGTCTGCAGAAATAAGTTGGATTTATTTAGTCAGTTTTAGAACATTCTCTCATTGCCATGCAAGATATAAAGATTTCAGTCATTTTGGAGGGTTGTCATGAAATAAAGATGCTATCTCACTTCCTTTTTGAACAGCATACGAAAGATGGTTACTGATTGTTAATCCATATGTGAGTTGTATCTTTCATGTCTACCCTTTCAATAGGTCTTGTGGGAAGATGTGTCAAGGCAGCAAGAAAAAGATAAAAGAAAATGATTAAAATTCTTGAGAAGTGATAAACGAAAATCGAAATGGAAGAAAGTATATAATGTATTTATGTATTTTAAATAGTTAGTGCATAATGTACTGAACTGTTTGAAGAACTGTTTCAAATGAACAGTTAAGACAACTGCAAATTGTACTCCATTACACTTAGGATTTAGATGTGGTTTAAGTAACTAACTTAGCAATCGAAAGATAGAAAATCGTCACCATATGAATAATACAAATGTTTAGATGACTCAAATATTAAAATGTGTGGTTTTCAGGAGACAGAATGTTCAGCTATAGCACACGCTCAACTGTGCCAATAGCTAGTAATCAAGGTGTTGGGTCATCATCACTGATTTGAGATTGTTCCAGTTCTCTAAAATTTCACTGACACCTTATTACAATACAGGATTAATTTAGTAAACACACTAGGAGTCATTCTGTCTGTAATCAGTCATAACAATCTTTGACTGGAAAGAACATGTAAATAGGGAAAACTGGACACTATTAAGAAGATATAATACACTGAATGAGCTTGCCTTAAAAGGAGAACATTGATATTTTCATAGCTGATCACAGGCATTGACAGTAAATATGGCCTTACTTGGAGTTTATTACTTCTGTTGTTGTCTTCCATGATTTTCCCATGTTTGTGAGAACAGGATATCCTCTTGCCATGATCCACTAATTTTCATAATTGTTTGCCGTTTGTCAGCTTCACTGCTGTGTTGCTCAGCCACCCCCTCTTACTGTCCTTTCACTTCTTCCTGTGCCTTCCTTTCATTCTCATAATTTCATTCTGTGTCTTTCTTTTTAGTCAGGTGCCAATTCTTGTGTACAGCAAAATCTTCCAATTTTAACTCCATGGTTTTCCCCAGCAATGAGCACTCCTTTCCACAGTGTTTTAGTAAGCTCTCATCATTGTCACTTTAACAGGTTCAATATTTAGTAGAAGCACCATGTTGTTATTCATGGCTTTCTTGGGATCAAAATAATGTCGCAGTTTTCAAGTTCAAGCAGTATGCCTATCTGAAGACCCACCGCATTATTTTTTTTAGGTGCTGGGATCTCGCAGTATTTGCACAGCATGGACACTGTCTTAATGAAATGTGACAAGCGCACCCAAATGACCAGAATTTAGCCAGCCTTAATGTGCAAAAGAGATCTATAATAATTGTTTAATTTTTTTCTGTTACTCTTTAGTTCCAAAATACATACTGAAGTGTGAATAGTGTCAACAGTGTTATTTCTCACAAGCTAGCATAAAATTCGATTAGGCCTTTTTCCTTGAGACATTTTTAGATGCTGAAGGCCACAGATGCAGTTGCATCAGTTGTACTCAAGACGGAGAGACTTGCAGGTGCTGTGGAATGTGAATGTTGTTTGTCTTTTCAGGGTTTGGCTCGCTAACTCTACATACTCAAGTAAGGGAAGTTAGGGACCATGCTAATTTTCCTTTTAGGTTATGTTAGCAGTGAAGACCCCCATTCAATAGTTATTTTTTGCTAGCATATTGTGTATGTACTGGCAATGAGGCTATTGCATCCTATCCCTATGTCCCTTGTTTGGTAATGACTGGGCAAGGTATTGAGTCACTTTTCATCATCTAGGACTACAACCTTCAATGAGCAAGCATTCAGCATTGCTTATATTCCAAATACCCGTGAGCCAAAAATAGGCCACACCAGAATTGATTGTTGCTTCTTCCAGGACATAACTACGCCCTGCTTGGTCCCCGATCAGGACATCCCTCTAGTTTTAGAGCCAGCAGGAGATCCAAAGAGCAAGGTAATTTTCACTTTGGCTGCAACATAGGCTGGAAACTTTCAAGTCAGCTGCTCCTTCCCTAGGATGGAAAAGACTACCAGCCCTGGTGTGGCCAGTTCCTTTCCCTTTACTGGCCTTTTCTTCAAATCATAGTTTAAGGCTTTCCCCTTTAAACTTTACCTTTGCAACGTCCCTTCCCAAATCATTCCCTTGCAAGTTTCCCATTCACACATTTGCAGTCTGCTTGTGTACACATGGTCAGACCTGATTAATCCAAATCTGTTCAAATAATCACTTTTCACCTGGTTTAATGAAAACTTAAAATGAAACAGATATGCAACTGAAATAAACTTGTTTAATTTAAGCTACTGTTAAAACAGTTGGGATAACAAAACAATACCAAACTTAGTTTAACCAGATCTGATGAAATATCTTTTGCAGTTTGTTTCTGGTTTTGGTACTGGTTAAGAACATAAATGAAACTTTTGAAATGACTTATTTTAGAACTGTACCAAAATAAGTTTCAAGATTTTCTTATTTGACTCTTATCATCACTTAATTGAATGAAGACTATATTTCACTGCTATTTCAACAAGAATTCCTTGTTGTTCTGCAGTTTGACTAGGCAATTAAAATGCCACAGAAGTGCATAGATTTTTATGGCTGGGCATAACCTGTAAATATGCTAAGTTTTAAGACAGTGCTTTTCTTCAGAGATGCATATCTGAAAATTAAGAATTGAGTAGTTAAAAACTCAAGATTAATATAGTAACTATTATTTGGTATAAATAATTTTAATCTAATGGATTCTGCTTTTCTAACATATTTTCCTTAATGGGTTCCCCTTTGCGTGTCTTGTATTCTTACATAAAACTTCACTGATTTTCTTTTGGCTGCCTATTGTACTTGATTGGGTTCATGTTTAAATTCTGCTGTGCCAATTTAGACTGATACTAGATGATGTCAAAGTGTGTTTGCTGTCTCCTTACTGTAAGTAATCCGCTGTAATCTGTGCACCCTGTTGGGAGTTCCAATTGTGTTCTGCATTGGACTCTTTAGAGTATGTTAGAAAGGCAGATTAAAAAGAAGTTAATAATGCAACAACCCCCAAAAACCCCAAACCTGAGCAGACCTCAAAATGGGAGAGGAAGGGGAAACTGAATACCTGAAAAAAACCCTAGGAGGTAAAAGTTGGGAGGAAAATCTAGGTTATAGAATGGAAACTAGAACTTATAGACTAGAAACTTTCTTAAAATCTTTTTGCTTAGTTCTGGTTTCCTTCAATTCCTTTTTCATTTTCAGTATGCTATCCTTATCTCACATTTCCCAGGGAAGTATGTGTTCCCTCCTTTTTCTCCATTCAATACTTTATTCTTTTCCTATTCTTTATCCTATCCAGAGCACTTCTTTCCATCTTCCAGATCACCCCAGTTTACTTCTCTCCCCTTTCAAAGTTCTTTGCATTATGATACTCTGCGCACAGCCACGACTGCTTTGCCTTTGCATTGTGTTGAAGTTCACTGACCACTTATGCATGACAGTTATACATAACAGTGTTAACACTGATTTTATTTTAAAATGTTGAAGAAGTCACTAAGATCTCTGCAAGCTTGGTAAGGTTCCTAAAAATGATGACCTGACTTCCTATTTCCTATTTTTGTGCCTCTTGAAAAATAGTTTAGGGACAGGATATGGGAACTGCCATAATTTTGAAAAGACTACTTTTGCTAGTAACATTTCAAACATTTCTAAAACTTACCTCTTATTAAGTGACTGCTATTCTTGCTTAAGCAACCTATAATGGCAAGCAGAACCTCCTAAAGGGGTCTACAAAGCAGAAAACATTCTTGAAAACAGTGATTGTCTTGAGAAATAAATATAACTTTAAACAGGATATTGCTTTCTAATTTTTGCAGTTTTGCTGTGTGGAAATGCATAGGCATAGACATGAACCACTATAGCAAGAAAGAGTAATTGGGCAGTTAGTTATATAACAAAGGCAGAAATGAATCACCTTGTACCTCATAATTGGAAGGTTTCTTACAAATTTAACTGCGGTGTAAATTCCAATCTGTGAGATAATAACAACCTCTAAACGTGAACTTGCGCTTCACTGCTATGATCTAATTGTATGGTTTACTAGCTCAGCAAATTAAAGTATACCTGACACACTTAGTTCTGTGATCAGTTCCACATAGTGTACTTCTACTGTAATTTGTATGCAACAGGATGTATATCTTAAATTGCTCAAATAGCCAGTTATTTTGATTTTATTCTTAAAAACCTCAAAACTTGACTGAGCCACATGACTTACACCAAATATTATTTTCTGTTCTTATATCTGTTTTAAAATTTCATCAGAAGTCTTATTTCTTTAATCTTCATTTGGGATTTTGATTATGTTTAAAATAATATAGATTTACTGAGTGCTTTAAAATTGTGGCTTTGGCCCTTCTTACTACCTTTAGAATACCATCCTTTGTGTTATTTTAGGAAATATAATGAAAGATACTGACAGGTCTTAGGCTTTAGCCCGTGCAACTTTGCTTTTTTTTTGGTAGGTGAAATACTAACTTTTAACTGAGAAATACTCTTTTATTAGAAAGATTATGTTCTGTAAAATCAGCTCGACAGAGAAATTTTTATTTGTTCCGTCATAAAGTTTTCAAATAAATTTATTCATATATCCTTTTTAGTTACACATGAGCTAAGGTAAAGCTTTAAGTGTCTGTATGCTATTAGTTGACAATGCAAGGTCTTTAGCAGACTTCGGGTGGATATTTAAAATGTAGCACATGCTAATTTTTTTTATCTGGTAATATACATGGATGTTTTGTAAGCAAAGGTATTTAAGAAAAAAGTGTAAAAAAAATTTAAGAGGCACAATATACTGTGGTGAGGAAAGTGAACATCATTTTACTGTGGTGTTTTGTTGGGTTTTTTACTGTGGTGTTTTGTTGGGTTTTTTACTGTGGTGTTTTGTTGGGTTTTTGAGGGGGAGAGAGAGAAGTGGTCCCTTATTGCTGGATAAGTTTTGTAGGTTTCATGAAGTTTTAGTCTGTAACAATGATTAGTAGTTTAAATTATTCCTTAAATATATTTTGATGATCAAAGCTACCAATTACAAGAATAAGTTTTTAATTAATCAGTTTCTAATAGCTATTGTTTCTCCATGAGTATTGTCTGTCTCAGCTCTGCTCCTCTAGTATGCAGTTGTTAAAATTTGTGATGAGTTTTCATGATAATCTATTTTAAAAAGAAGAAAATCATAATATTAAGGACAATATTTAATAAAAATGCAACATGGAAAAGGAAGGTTTATTGAGAAATGAAAAATATAATACTGTTTTTCTATAGAAGCAAGTATTACACTGTAAAGAGGGAACTGATGTGCAGTTCTCTGGATAGTAAGAAATGTCAAGTGATGTAACTTTTTTTTATTACTGAAGTGATACACTAAAGTAAGAGAAATATACTTTTCTGAGAGCTAGTATGGGGATGCAAGAGAACTCACTAGTATTTTGTGACCTTAGCCCAATTTCCTTTCCCTATCTTTCTGCAGTTCAGTCCGATATCCTTTATCTGTAGCTATCCAGGATATGATGAATTAAAAATTATTTCTGAAAAATTAAGCTTAATTTATTTTGGTTTGGGTTTTTTTTTTTTGCTAAAATGAAGAAATTGTGATTTTTTTTTATAACTAATTTTTCAATGCATGTTTCTTGTCTAGCTACTAAGGAAAAGGCATATAGGAAATGACATAGTTACCATTGTCTTCCAAGAACCAGGAGCACTTCCTTTTACTCCAAAAAATATTCGTTCCCACTTTCAACATGTATTTGTCATAGTCAAAGTGCATAATCCTTGCACTGAAAATGTGTGCTATAGGTGAGTAGAGCCTTATAACTATTTAAGTTTGTTATTAAGACTACATTGGAACTGCCTCTTCTAACAGTTTTGTATTTCCTAAGAATATTATGTATACCATTTTAAAATTTCCGCTACATTTTCTGTGAGTTTGAAACCCCAATGTCTCCCTTGCACACATCTAGAGTTATGGGGCACAGTTTGTAGACTTAAATGGGTATATGCAGAACTGTGTTGCTGATTTATGGGCACAAAATGGGGATATAACAAGTTAGTAAAAATAAGATTTGCAGACATAGCAATAGAAATTAATTTAGAATTTTTATTGCACATTTCCTTTTTCAAAGAAAGTGATTTAAAATAAAGTATTTTAGAATGCTATTAATCTGTGTAAATCCAAGTATGACAGTATGACACTGGGATGAGTCATGGCCTTTAAGCACACGAATGAGGACTTTTGAGGAGTATAAAAACATCTCAGATTTCAGATGACCTTAACTCTCACATTTAAGTTACTGCATCATGAATTCTAGCAAGGTAACTGGGGTGGAAGCATAGTTCTGAACTGATTGGGAATTGTGCAAATAATGATAAGGACTTGAAGCATGATGGTGCAGGTTTAGCACGTATAAATGTTATTTATTCATTGTTTAGAATGAAATTAAAGTATATCATGAGGTCAGGTCATATTACTGTCTTTTAGCTGTCTTTTAGAACTTAAGCTATCTTTTAGAACTTGATTTTTGTTTCAGTAGCTCTTTTGTGTTTAATAATACATGGCATTTCATAAGTTACATTTTTCTTATTACTAAATGATGTCTGTCATCCCAAATGTGACTGCATTTCAGTCAAACTAGTGGTAGTTGTATGTAGTTTGCACAGTATTTTGAAATCCTTTTTCAGTTGAAATACATTATGTAGACATCAACTGTAGGTATAATTGTATCAATGAGAAAATATTCCTATTTCTTTTACATCTTGCTCTGTACTGTCCATATCAAGAATTGCAGGTATTTTGAATTTTTATGAACACAGAGTAGGCAACCTAAACAGGTATAGAATGCTGCCGTTATAGACACATTTGACACCGGTACTTTGTCTTCACACTTCATTGTAGCAAAATGGCTGAGGATTAAAACAAATTCTGTTCCTATTTACATATTTCTTATTTTTAAGATCATGCAACTGAGTGACAGCTGAAAATGGATAGTCAGACTTACATTAAAAAATAATTAAAAATACTTCTCTCATTTATGTCTCACAAAGCATTTTTATATTTATTCCATTAAAGAAAGGAGACAGTGACACCCTGAGAAGTCATCCTTGATTTTTTTTTGTGTTAGTAAGATGCATCCATAATATCTTTTATATATCTAAAAGAAAAAAGCCATTTTAAAACAAGACAGCCCAATCGGTTTTCTTTGTGTCTAAAGTGTCTGAAAACTGACATGTCAAAGCTAAACCCATCTGTGCAAATGGACTGCACAGATCACAATTCTGCTTATCATCTGATTTTTTTTAAGGAATTAACCACTGTATTTTTTTCTTTCTATTTCCAGTGTTGGTGTTTCACGATCAAAAGATGTACCTCCGTTCGGTCCACCCATTCCCAAAGGAGTAACTTTCCCCAAATCAGCAGTCTTTAGGGACTTCCTTTTAGCCAAAGTTATTAATGCTGAAAATGCAGCACATAAGTCAGAAAAATTTCGAGCCATGGCCACAAGGACACGTCAAGAATACTTGAAAGATCTGGCAGAAAATTTTGTTACCACAGCTACAGTGGATACTTCAGCGAAGTTTAGCTTTATTACTTTAGGGGCAAAAAAAAAGGAAAAAGTGAAACCAAGGAAAGATGCACATCTATTCAGTGTTGGAGCAATTATGTGGAATGTGATTGCACGAGATTTTGGCCAGTCTGCTGACATTGAATGTCTCCTTGGAATCTCCAATGAGTTTATCATGCTGATTGAAAAGGAATCAAAAAATGTTGTGTTTAACTGCTCCTGCAGAGATGTTATTGGATGGACGTCTGGATTAATGAGCATCAAAATATTTTATGAAAGAGGAGAATGTATTCTTCTGTCTGCAGCAGATAATTGTACTGAAGACATCAGAGAAATTGTTCAAAGACTTGAAGTAAGTACAGTTTCTAAACTGGAATTCTAAACTTTTTATGAAGAGTTACTTGTCTACATCTCCTTTGAGATATAATTAAAAATGTCCTATGTTAATACTTTGGGAGTGTTTTCAGTCTTCAGAGAGCATTACAAACAATCCTCATAACAGCATATGAGATAAGGGTTATCAACCCACTTTCAGGGATGAGGAATCTGATACCAATAATCTGAAAGACTTGCCCAAGGCCATGGTTGGTTTCAGTGTTGAAATCAGGATTGAAAGGCTAAGCTTGTGTCTTCTCTTGCCTGTAGCCTGTTCTCAAATCACACCTTTGTGGGTAGAAATATACCTTAATTTAAAAATATACAAAATCTTAATGTGTAAAATTTACTCACTTGGACTTTTATGATAATCCATGTGAATATTAGCAGAAAAATTTGTATAAGTGATTCTGTTGATTTGGTCCTCTATACTGAGCAACTGCAGGAAGTAAAGACCAATTAATGCCAGTTTTTACAGCTGACTGGATCAAGTTTTTCAGATGCTTGATGACCCTGTTAGCACAACTGTCCTGTCACTATTTCAGTCAGTACAAATGAACTGACAGGAACTCCGAGGTAAAAGTGCTGATGCATCTACTTCATGTGGTTACACTTTGCCCTTTGATCATAATTTAAGTGATCTGGATGGTCTCAGTTTTGTTTATATTAGAAAGCCTGGTACTGAAAAGAAATCATTATGCTTACCATTTTCACACTGGAACAGTTGGATTGCAGCTGATGTTTTAGGGCCGCTGTAGTTCTGCAGTCACATTGAGCATTGCTCAATGTCGTGCTCTAAATAATAACCTTTTTCTTCCAAAGTACAATTAATCTTTCAATACATGAATGTATTTAAACTTTTCTTGCCACTGCTATATAATCCTTTTCACTGAGGTCTTCAGTTTCACTTTCCTTAGACAGATATTTCCCTTCTGAAAAATAACATATGCATAGTTCACTCCTATTACGTATTGCTAAATAAACAATATAAATTGCTTAACACAGATGGAAAACAAGATGCAAAGTTCTAGTGAAAACTTCTGCTGTCATCAGTGATGACAATTTCTTTTGCTGTTTTTCACTTCTTTGGTTTTACAAAACATGGAAATATCACAGTTGCTGAGGATAGATCTTTAAAATTCAGTAATTAAAACGATGAAATGGCTATCTATATTTACTTGAATACTTCCTCTCTTTTATGGTCAGATTTTGGGTTAAATAATGACAAATTGGCTTTAAGCCTCAAAAATTTAGCATCAGTTACTGCCAAGTTAACCCGAATATTAGCTTCAAGTATCTGTTCCAATGAACTCTGGCAGCCTTCTGTCTTTCACTGCCACCTATCCAACTTTCACATTGCTTAAAAGAATTAGCTGTCATTACTTGATTTAAAACTTTTTTCATCCCTGTTTCTTACCTCATATTTTTCTCCTTTTTCCCTGCTTCTTCCTGTCTTTTGAAAGCTGCAGGTTAATGTTATTCCCTAGTTCGTTTATGACGTTGAATGCTTTCTAAACAGTCCTTATATACATTTTGATATGGAAGCTCAGACGTGACCATTACAACCACTAAAAAGTATTTAAACCTCTGATTCCAAACTTCATATGCATCCTTTAAAAACCTTTTAAGTGACTCAGAACACACTAAGGTCAACAACCACATATGCCAGCAGATGCTAAAGATGAAATCTCAAACTGTGACGTAATATTGAACTTCAGTGACCAGATAATTAATCCTTTTCAGTCACTAGTAAAAGCATTTCTTAAAACCAGTGAGTAAAATGTTGCAGTTACTAAATGAGGTTGTCAAAGAAATAACTACATTTTATTGCCTGGACTTAAATCATGCAGATGAATAGGAAACCTGTCTGAATATTCAGATAAAGCAAAGATGTGAAAAGCTGACACTGTGATTTTGGTTTGTACCAAAGAATCCATTCAGGACTAAAAAAAGAGCTGGGATTTGTCAGTCTAGAGTCAGATCTGTATTTGTGGGGGAGAATATCTAGTGATATAAAGCAGAGAGCAGCAAAAGCAAACTGTAGATTAATTTGGCGGGCTGTATTTGAACGCAGAAAAAGCAGTGGTTCTGAGCTTTAGGATAACAGAGAATGGCAGAATGATACAAGATTAAATGAAAACCCTGAATGGATCTTTAGACAGGAATCTGAATAGACAAAATTTCCTTAGAAGCCTGTATCTAAAGAACCTCGCCACCTTCTTCATGGGACTTAGAAGATCTCTGTCTTTTCATGTCATCTGTATTAAGTGCATTTAGAGAAGCCTGCTCTTAGTTCATGCACAGCCACGTGCTCAGTGAAACAGCAACCAAGTAAGCAGAATGACCTGTTTTGAAGTGGAGCAGCACTATGTTTTATGTGACATTACTGTGTAAAATGCAGTGTCACCTTTTAGGGGATATACTTGTGGAGGACTTGATTTCCTGGAATCATTTCCATTGGGAATAGATTAATCTTTGGGAGGAATGTTTATCTTCCTTCTCTTTTAGCCTTTGAATGTTTAACTAACTCGAAGAAGAGATTTTGAGTGCCCTGAGTTAGGGAAATCCATATACTTTGGCTGGTGCATTCGTTCTGCAGTGTTCTCTAATTGTGACATAATGATAGAGGTGTCTGCCTGCGCCCCCCCCCAAAAAAAAAAAGAAAGAATATTATGTAGTTTCATAAGGATAAAATTCCATCCCTCAGCTGGGCTCTTGACTCTAATAGCATGTTCTTCTTTTCACTGCATGACTAATTATTGTATGTATTTTGGAAACTTGGGA